GGTCTTATATAAGAGACATATAATGTTTTTAATGTATTCCTATCAACTGTAGTTTTTAAAATTCTAAGAATACTTAGTCTAGAGTTCGCTTTCTTATAAATATTTGAAATGTGATCTGACCATGTCCCTTTACTGTTAAATGTTAGTCCTAAGTGAGTATGGTGTTCATGTTGTGCAATTGGAGTATTGTTAAATAGCAGTTGAGGATGATTGTTAATGTGTCTACGAGAGAAGTTAATAGCTACAGTCTTATTCGGATTGAATAGGATCTGCCATCGCTTTGACCATTCAGAGATTGAGTCAAGATCATCATTAAGTATGTTAGTAGGTGTTGTAAGGTCATTGTTATTATTTACTATTACATAGAGAGAGGTATCATCTGCAAAGAGTTTTATATGAGAAGTTACATTATTAGTAATATCATTAATAAAAAGAAGAAAGAGGAAGGGACCAAGGACAGATCCTTGAGGAACCCCTGCAGACATAGGTTTGGTACTAGATTTATAACCTTCAAAGATAACCCTTTGTTTTCTGTCAGATAAGTAAGCTTTAAACCAATTATATAATTTACCTTTAATACCATATGTTTTTAGTTTATATAATAGGCCCAAATGCCATACTCGATCAAATGCTTTACTTATGTCACAGAAAACAAAACGCAAATCTTTACCTTGGTCTAAATTGCCACTTATAGTATTATAGATATCAGCTAGTTGATTAGTAGTGGAGTCTTTGGGTTGAAATCCTGACTGATGTACACTTAACATATTGTGACTTGAAATATAATTAAACGTATATTTAAAAATATTTTTTTCTAACGTTTTGATAAAAATAGATGTAATAGCAATAGGTCTCTAATTATTGAGATCACTGATATCTCCTTTACCTTTATAGAGAGCAGTAACATTAGCCGTTTTTAGTACATCAGGTATTACTCCAATAGATAAAGTTCTATTAAATAATAGTTTGAGTGGGTATACTAAAGAAGCAGAAATGTTCTTTACAATCATAGGTAAAATACCATCAGGACCAGCTGGTTTGTTTTTATTAAAAATGTCAAATTGGTCAGTTATATCTTGTTCAGTAATGTTAATGTCAGAAAGTTCAAATGGACATAAGGGAGGTAAATCAGGTAGGTTAGTGTCAGTAATATCAGAGGCAATGGTGGTAAAGAAGTTATTTAGTGCCTCAGCTTTATCTTGTGGATGGATTAATATTTTATTGTTAGATTTTAGAGGATAAGAATTAGTGCTAGTGTTATTCATTTTTCCTATAGATTTTGCTATCTGCCACCATTTTCTTGGATGCACTGTTTTGTCGGCAAGACAATTTTGAAGTTTCTTAAAGTAATTTTCTTTGGATTGCCGAATAATTTGTATAGTGTCATTGCGACAAGTTCTAAATTTTGCCCAATCTTGTTCCCTATTTTTATTTTTAGCTCTTTTATGTAATCTATTCTTATATCTTAATTTATGCCGAATTTCACCAGTCATCCAAGGTTTATCATCAGGATGGACAGTAATTGTTTTGTGAGGTATATGAGAGTTAGTAGCAGAGTTTATTTTGTTTATAATAGTAGAATATAGTTCATTAATGCTAGTAGTGTTATTAACTATGGAATCCCAATCATTACTAAGTAGTTCATTATTAATAGCATCCCAATTAGCTTCATTGAACTTATATATAGGTTTCTTGAATGGTTTATTTTTTAGTGTCTTAAAACAAATGTTAGCAAGGATGGGGCAGTGATCACTACAGAGAGGGGAAAGTACATTTGTTGAGGTAAAAATGTTTACATTATTAGTAATAAATACATCAATTAAGGTAGCAGTAGTGTTTGTAATGCGTGTTGGTGATTGTATTAAGTTTTTTAAGTGATATTTAGTAATTAATCTTGCAAGATGTGAATTAGGTTTCATTGTGATAAAGTCAATATTTATGTCACCAGTGATAATGATATTAAGATTAGTATTAGAAAGATTATCTAAAATGTTATCAAGTTTATTCCAGTAATCTACTTTTGTATTAGGAGGTCTATAAAGACAGCAGAGAAGTATTTTTTTGTTAGAAGTGTTAATTTCTAGGATGACAAGTTCTATGTCTTCAGTTTCAAGATCAGTTCTGTGATTTATTAAGAGGTTGTTTTTAGTATATATCATAATACCACCACCGTGTTGTGATTGTCTGTCTCTACGATATGAGTTGGGATGTGAGTTAATTTGCAAATCAGATTCAGTTATTTCATTATTCAGGTGAGTTTCAGTAAGACATAGGATGTCATAGTCAGTGAATTCAGTATCTATAAGATCAACCTTGTTCCGAAGAGACCTAACATTTAAGTGCATTATTGATAAATCATTATAGTAGTTTCTTTGATTAATACTGATTGATGAGCGACCTGGATTAGAGTGAATATTTCCAGACATCAGAAGTAGAAGTTTTATAACAAACAGAATGTATAAAATATCTTGAGTATACATGTAGTGATATCATATTGGTATTACAGGCAGTAATAGAGGAAGAACTATAGTATAGCTTACAATCACACACAAACATACTTACAAACTACTAACACGCCAAAAAATGAAAAAAAAAAAAAAAAAAAAAAAAAAAATAACAATAAATAAATAAGCAGAGACTTGAGGAAAGAAATAACAGTAGGGACTAATGAAAAATAATATTCTCAGAATGTGGAAAGCATCAATTTGATATTTTAAATATAATTTCATAGGGAGTGGTATACTGAACTTGAGTATTATCAAAACAATTAACAACAGTAGTTTCTTGAATTCAGTGTAACATGTTCAACTACAAGTGTAAAAAAATCAATTGAAGCAGATAAACAAATTAATTATTTTAAATACATATATACAAATATTTATATACAGACAGAACATGAAATCAATCATTTGAGACAATCATGTTATATTTTAAGATTTATTCATATACTAGTAACCTAAAGTTACATGTATAAGAAGAAAAATAATGAATAGTTACAGATTATCAGTGGTGTAAGGGGTGGGTTGGGGTAACTGTTTAAAAACATCCAGTTAGCCTTATCTCTACACGACACTATCTAGTCCTGGCTCTCTAGACTGAAATCATATTAGCGTTTACCAATACATTTATAAGAGTTAAAGATATTGAAGTTTTCATTATTCAACAATTTTACTGAATATAGACTACATTCGTATTGATAAATTTCAGTATCATCCGGAAATATTTGAACATGTAACACTTCCTATCATATTCCTATTTGTTAAATAATTGCAAAATGTGAATTTTGTCCTCTAGAACATTTGTAACATAAAATTTCTGTTCAATATCGAGATCAGGAAACAATTAACGTGCTTAATATTTAATGATGATAATATTGAAACTTTGCATGTGAGTAGTTCCATAGTACAAATGCTTAACATATGTCATCATATTTCTCTCTAATATCTATCAATTAGCAGATTAAATGAATGAAGGCGATGCAACTCTTTTTGTTTGTTATCGCTACTTTGGAAGGAACTCTTTTGTTAAATATGATGCGAACAGTTGTAAATAAAGCTGTAAAAGAAGATGGAAACTTGTAAACTATAGTCACCCTCATCAAAAAGTATTCTTTCTACATTTTATGTATTATGTAAACATTTAATTTACCCGTGTTTTTTCTCTTTGTCCATCCCTTTACTCGCCCCGATTTCTCGAACATCCTCTAACTATAAGTGACTAGGGCACTTATTTAATTACTGACTAGGGATCGTTCGTTCAGAATAGCATGAGACGGATATGTCGAGGGTTTGTGAAAACGCGTTATTCTTACATGTATGTATCCTATTGTACAACGAGGTGTACACCTTG